CCCCCCCCCCCCCCCCCCCCCCCCCCCCCCCCCCCCCCCCCCAACTTTGGAAATTTTTGTTTCAATTTTACTCCGATTTGAAGAAAATAGAAGAAATTTACTCTGATTTTTGAAAAAAATAGAAGAGATTTTTATTGATTTACTCCGATTTTTGAAAAAAAACCCTGCCGTTTTCAAGTAACCCCCCTATATTTTTGTTGCTTCGCGCCGTCCCTGAATAGAAAGTATTTTTAGCTAATTTAAAAAACAAAAATCTCTTTAGTAACCTATTTGCTCGTATCAAATATTGTAGCACACTTATGTAAACCATGATGTGCTTTATTTGCCAAAAAAAAAGGATGCTTACTCATGCTTCAAAATAATAGCAAATCAGAAAAATAGCAACAACAATTTTTTGAAGGCCGAAGATTTTCTAAATGTTCGGTATAAAATCCGATCAGTCTCGAATTCTCCCTTACTATCAAGATTTGTCAAACTCTATTCGCAGTATAAATTCAAATTTAGTTACTATTGACCTGATAATTAAACTGTTAATGACTCTTATGTATCATCAACAATTTCAATAATAAATACCTTAATTCGGCATAAATTGGTTTTCGATCAAACCATCGTGTGTTAAGACCAGTAACAGCTCGTTCTGCATCTTTTTCAAAACGGAACTAAAAGAAAATTTCCGACTTTGTCTGTTTACTTATAAATATTTTGTTCTTACTTTAATATAAATATTTCCAATGAGATGTTCTCCGAGATTGTCACAAACTGTCATTGCTTCAATTTCTCCATACTAAAATCGTATTCACGATAATCCAATATAAGAAAATGAAAGGAATGAACAAAAATAGGGAAAGGCATCAGTCCTAAAAACCTGTAAACACACGAAAGTTTGTTGTAAGAATTTTTATAATGAAAAAGAACTTTTTTTAAAAATAGTTCATATAGATATTTATCAATCTACCTTTTCTTTTTCTTTTTCTTTCTTATATGTACAGCTGTTTGATTAATAGAAAAGAAATGTAGAGATCCTCCTGCAAAAATGGGACTACAAAAGTGAGATATACATATATATTATGTAATATTATATATTGTACGTGTTATTTTATTTCCATTGAATATTTATAAAACAAGATGAGAGTGCTGTTGGTTCAAGCCTGCAATAATCGATAGAATCTTAGGGAGATATAAGAGACAAACAAAAAAGAAACGTAAAAGTTTAGTTGTTCTTTTTTACATAGCCCTTGTCTAATGGAAAAAATTAAAATGTGGAGCTGCTCACTTAAAACGAAAGAAAGATAAAACTTACCTTATCTTCAACTTCAGTGTAAACTTCTTCATAGAATTCACTAGAACAAAGAAAGAACCAAATCGTTTTAGAAATTAATCATAGTTCTAGATATGAATATTTACTCAAAATGTTGTTGAATTTGTTCATCTGTGTAAGTATTTTCATTGATTTGTTCAACTAAAGAAATAAATATTCGGGATATATATCTATGAACAATACAACTCTGATTCTTTTAATAATTACCAAAACCACCCTCTGATTTTGGAATAGCATTATTGTTCGGATTAAGATAGAGATTTTTTAGGAGAATAGTCTAGAAAAACAAGAATAACTTGAAAAAACTTGAGAATTTTTATCATCATACTTGACTAAATGTTGGTTTATTATGAACACGAGAACATCTAGAACATTTAAAAGTTTTAAAAGATTTTGCATGGCTAATAAACCATTCCTACCTTTCACCATGACGACATGCACCAATTTTAAAATAAAATGAACAATTAACTCTAAATTAATCAATGAGTACCATGAATCAATTGAAAAAAATGAGATATTTACTTGTCTTTTTCGGTACCGAAAATAGAAGCAAGATACTCGGCCATTAAATTTCTTGTTCAGCAATATTAATAGGACTTAATCAAAGTTATGGACGGCAATTATACCTAAAGAATAAGTACTTCTAGTTTTTATATGCGAAATTTTGGTATGATGATTCGCATTTTATATGACAGATCAAATAACGGAGAAGTGGCTTCTGAAAGTAACTGTCACTAAGATCAATTTGATACACACATGGATAGTAGCGGCCAGGATTATACATTTTCGCTGATATTGAAAGTAAATAAGAATCGATATTATTCAAATATACTTCAGTCAAGCCTGTCAATCTTGATTGAGTTTCATATAGAGAAAAATAATTAAAAATAGTCTCGTCAATTGAATGACAGTGACATCTGTACAATACAATGTGTTTGTACACTTCCGATAGCAAGATTCGAAAGATTTGTTCTTTTAAAGTTGTATTAGTATTAATGATTTCAATGAATACAGAGGCGATTGAGTTCTTCTAACTGTTAAGAATCTTCATAGAGCTATCACTATTCTGATTACTCCTGATAGCTCGGAAATGATTGTAGGAAACTCATGAATAACTAAGATATCTATACGAATTCTCTTCATATGTATAATGTTAGAGAAACTGTTGTTGAATCTATACTCTAACTTCACCAATACTATCACTAGGGGCGTAACCAGAGGAGAGCCAGGGGGGGGGGGGGGGGGCGCGCCCACCCGCGCGTTGACCCACGACCTCTCCCCCCCCCCCAATAATATTTTTCTGGTTACGCCCCTAACTATCACGCAACGATATGAGGACGAATTGACCAGAACGAAACTATTATTGTAACTGTCAGAGAAACACATCAATGTCAATACGCTGATGCTATTAAGTTATGCGATTACGTAGTTTAGTAAAAAGAATATTCTTAAAATAGCCTTGACTAGATATAGATGCTAGTCAACAGTCGTTTACAGAGGAAAAATACAGCGATAATATTACCATACGAAACAGCGGAAGACAATTTGTAGCAAAATCAATTATCATGATTAGCTACAGTCAAGAGTACAATGAATCATTCGTTTGATGTCGACGCCAGATGCTACTTCTCTCAAACTCAATTTGATTGATTTTACTTATTTCTTTATATATTATGCTTGATCAGTTTCTCTTTGATACTTAGCATCATTTTGATATCTGTTACCGATCAGTTGATCGTGAATACTCTTCACGAGTGATCTAGAGATGACTGACTGGTTGATAAACAAATTAAATCAATTCTCGAAGAATGAAACAACACAAAGATGAATGATATAAAATATTAGTAAAGAATGTTGATATCGTATTAGATAAATGGAATTGAGATGTACACTTACGGAGAGAGAGAGTATAGGTCTAGATTATGTGATCCAATGAAAGAGTTATATGATGTGATGTATAGACTTACAAATAAAGTTAAGAAGATAGTTATACAGTATAAAGTAGAACAGTAGATGAAATCAATACTCAGCATTTTGTTTATGTAATTTTATTTTATTTTATTTTATTCGAGAAATTACATTCGATGAACTGTGAGTGTTTTGTTTTCGATTAAGTTTATTTATATTTTTATTTTGTTCTATAAATGAATCTGTCACAGAGCTTGGTATACGATATTTTGTAAATAAAATCTAAAATTACTGATTATATCCTATGGCAACTATTAGCTGAAATGAATGTAAATTATTGACCTTTTTACTTTGATTCTTTGCTTGTTTTTTTACACCGAGTAAATTGGGTCTAATCGATATTTTTATGCTTACTATCTTTAATTGTCAAATGACATCTTGTTTCTAATCAAAATCTACTGCACTGATATTTTTAAAAGATTGAAATCTATATTTCTGAGACCCGTTGATAATACATAAAATAGAGGTTATAGTGATGTGATTGTCAATAGATTCAGATCTATAATGATTGCTATAAAATGAACGCAAATATTACATTTTTGAAGAACTATCAATTAGTTTCAGATTGATAAATATAGTTTTCCTTTTAAAGTGTTTATTTATTTGCGATGCACTCCATAAAAAGATAATTGAAAAATAATGAATATTTCATAGCTACATATTAATATTTTTGTTTCGGCAATTACGCGATACGGTCTTGTGCGCATGATCGAGAGGCACAATATAGTAATAAAAGTTTGACTTACAATGAACATCAGTAAACAAGAAGCGTAATCGAGATTCAGAATAAATACTAAATATATTTTCATTGGTCTCATTTAAATTTGCCTACGAGGCTATTAAATCAAGTGGCTAGTGATACGAGACAAAAAAATATTGAATATTTAATTTTCATTAATATCATTAGAGTGCTACCAATATTTGCGAATCGACATATGTTCTAAGTATCCTTCAAATAAATCAATGCATGTCTTGTTCCTTTCTTCTATTATTTATTTATATTTACAATATTGATATCTGTTTAGATAAAATAATGTTATCTAATCAATATATTTGATTACCGTTATGTGCAATATAAACGATATGTTTGACGAAGGATAGGATCATTAACAATAGCCTCAGAGCAAATGCTTTCTTATCCATTTAGTAGCATTGATGTGTTTAATTAAATATAAACATTACGCATGAGGCAAATAAGAACTATTATATATTTTGATTTTGATTTTTTTTATTGAGTGGTTTACTTTTAAATATTTTCTATTCGATTTGATATGTGTCAAAAATAGTTGAAATGTAACACAAAGATCAAAATTATGTAACAAAATATAACGATAGATACTGTAGCAAAAAACAATAACTATGTAGTTATCTGTGATTTTGTCGGCGAGATTTCATCTGAAGTTGGATCTATCGACGGCCTAGTATATGGTAAAGGACGATCTTTTGCAGTATAGTATTCATCAACTTCTCGATCTGATGACGACGACGACGACGACGACGATGATGATGATGATGAGAAAGTGACACTACAATATCAAAAAAAAATTATTTGAACATGAAAAAAGATCAGGCAACAAGTTTACTGGATTTTTTTTCTTGTTTGAAGATCTTCAATATTTTTTTCAATTTTATGTCCACGTGCTCGATTGAATGCTAGCATAAGAAAATTCTAAAGAATAATTTTCTCAGAATAAACAAATCCTTACCAGCAATAGCTTCATCGGGTTGTAGACCAAGAATTTCAATTAAATATCTTAATGGGTATAAATCAATAAAGAAGAATTTGATACGCGAGTCGAAAATTTTACCTGGCAATAAAATAGCCACTTCGATTAACTCCATGAGTACAATGGATACCTATCAGTTTGTCTAATAAAAAGAATCGTCTTATTATCACAAGATTGTTCAGAAATGATTACCATTCTGCCGATTATTGCGTAAGAATTTATTAACAATACGAAAAAATTTTTGACAATTTTCATCTGACACATCTTGATGCCCTGGTACTCGAATTTTACAATATTCAATGTCCAAATCTTCTACATCCTATTGTAGAATGAGATTTAAAAAAATTAAATTTTAGTATTTATGCTTTTTTTCAGATCCTACTCGATAATCATAATAACGATGAGTATCAGTTAAATCAATAATTAAGCCAAGTTCACGTTTTCGATAATCCAAACGTTCAATTAAATCATTCAAAGAAAATCGATCTCGTTGATTTAGATTGCGTAAGATTGACTATAAAAGAAAAACAAGGAAAACATTTAATTATATTCGATTTTATGTTCTATAAAATTATGTTAAACTCAACCCATCGTAAAGGACATTTGAATGGAACTAGACGAGTATTTTCAATCCATGTATGCAATGGAGTATAATCAAGCCAACTAAATATAGAAAAAGACGATTTAATTCAGCTCAATTGTAAATAATGATTTACCCAGCTGGCACTTTATTATTCACCGGCCTTCGCCTTCGACTCTCACCATACGATCTTGATTGATTCATTCAAGAAGAAATTTATCTAAAATAAAATAACCATATGATGATGATGATGATATGTCTATCCCAAAACTGTATCAATTCAAAGTTTATCTGATATTTTTTATTGAATCAAACTACATTCAATAGTCAAGATATATCCAATTTCTTGTGTTGTTTGCTCGGTAGTTACTCGCTTCATTGTTACCTAATTAAATTTAAGAACAGCCTAGATATTCTTTTTATTTTCTGCGCTGACAGTTTTACTGCGCTCTTTATTATTTTTTGTTTCAATATATCAAAATTTGCACACGAAAGAAAACATTATTTTTCGACAAACACACACAACAATATCCATAGAAAAGAAAAAAGGAACGAGATGATATACTAAACTAAAATATCTACCATACACACAAAATAAGAAATATAGGTAAAAAAAAAAGAAAGGAAAGAAAGATAAGAAAGCTTCGTGTTTGTTTTTCTATTTTTTTCAATAACACATATCCGCACGTATATTCGTGACTAGTGATAATGATGATTAATTCTCATATTTTAGTGTGATTATCCAAAACAAATATATCTTTTGCTTTGGTTAGAAGTATTAATCTAATGCAATTAAATTTTCTGAACGTCGACCATTATTTTGTTTGAATGTTGACGCTTCTTTTAAACGTTGAAACCATATATTTGCAACTGCTGCATTTTCAAATTTAAATTTGTACATGGATCCTAAATGCAAAATATAAAATTCATGTTTTTGTTTCGGATTCAAGAGAAAAAATTTTACCTCTGTTTAAATCACTTAGTTGTATTTCATTGCGATTTTTTCTTTGACTTAGTACAATAAGCCAATCAGACACTGATTGACATTTAGTTGGATTTTGTCGATAAAACAATCTTTCAGATTCAATTAATGTTCTACTTGATGATGATGATTCTAATAATGGTGGCGCTGATTTAGTCGTAGATATATTATCATTATCACTGTGTGCTGATGCTTGTCGATTTGAACGATGTAAACGCATATGTAAAGTCATTATGAAAGGTTTTTGCTTGTGGAAAAAAAGTAAATGTTCACATATTGCAACCCAATATTTTTTCCATTTGGCTATAGTTGGCTTTTTAAAATTTTTTAGTAAACATTTACGTTGCAAAGATCCTTCAAAATTAAAATTTGATGTTACTAATGGATCATTATGAGGGTTCAATGGTTCTTTCATTGATAATGACGATAATGACACCGACATTCCCTGAGCAATATGATGATGTTTTCCACTGTTCTTAATGTATTCTTTTGCTTTACGTATTGCTTCTTCACATGAATCACTTGAATCAGTACCTTAACATAACAAGAAATAATTAGAAAAACATTTCTATTTGCATAAGAATTCTAAAAATAGGGTGAAACATAACAGGATGCACTTCAAGTGATTTCTATAGAAGAGACTAATAAGCATCAAAATTATTTTTCTTTACAAATATGTCAAAAGGTAACTTCTTTTGACAAGGGAAAACTGTATGATGTCACCTATGAATCAACAAGTCTTTTTCAACGAAAACTAATTTCACGCAAGTATCATAGCAAGATAAAAGCATGTGATTCACAATGTTTCCAAACTTTCGTTTAGCTGAACATATTAAAATATGATGGAATATTGAGTATCTGAAACAGCTTGATTCTTGATATACAACTATATATGATGATACATCAAGAAAAACACATTTAGTTTGCGTTCATATTCTCAAAATATCGCAATGATCATAAAACATGACTAATTAAGAGATAAGTCCAGATCTAAAGAGTCTCTTTGAGATATGAAGCAAATAATAATAAAAAAAAGGATACATGTTAGAAACACTATCTATCGAAATTCGAAAGCATAACTTTTCTAAAAATCTAAAGTATTGTAGATTTCACAATCAGACATATTTCCTTCGGGTCAGGTCGCTTACTGAGATACAAATACTCGGTTTTGATAAATGTTATATAAGGCATTACAACAAGCAATTTGCATCCTACGAACAATTTTCTGTTATTCAACTTGTTTTCATTATAAAAACTTATCATGACTGACTTATCTATATGCAGGAGTTAACATTCAACATTCAAACAAGATACAAGCATGTTAGGTAAGTATAACTAATGCATGTCAAAAAAGTCATTCTACTATTATTATAGTGCTATATTTTAAAACAGAGAGGAATGCATTAAGGATAAGAGCGTTCTCAAGTAATATAGAAACCATAAGCAAAGCATGTTTTATTGCCAAAGGAAAACAAGAAAACACAGGCTAGCAGGTTATTTTACCTTTAAATAATAAAAGACCTAAAATATTGTCATAGTTAACATATTAAAAAATCAAATATCTATTTAAAATGAACTTACTAGATCGAGTTTCTTCTTGCATACAATCTCCCAATACACTATCATCTAATAAACTTTTCTTTTCGTGTGTTCTGCAAGGTAATGTTGCAGATTTACTCGATGATGATACACAATTTGTACTAGGAAAAAAAAGTCACAAAAATAAAATAAAGAACTGAAAATTGTTTTTTCAATCATATAAACATACTGATTATAATCACTCAGTGTTCGTCTGTGAGAATATGCTGAATGTGAATCAACATGTGAAACTTTGAACGATGCTGATTTGTCTAAACTTTTTGGTGTTCGTTCTAGATGCGAATCGTTATAATCAGTATTTATTATTTCAGGTTCAATGGATAGTGATTGTTTAAAATTTTGATCTTCCACAAATGTTTGTAATTCTTCCATGTAACGTACAGACGCAAGATAATTTTGCACGCATTCAATAGGTTTGAGGAATTCTAAAACAAAAATGATTATTTCATTTTTCTCTCTCTCTTTTTATAAATAAAACATACCGTAGGTTGACTGTTGGAATTCAGATATGACTCGACATATATTATTCATTGCATTTTTACGTTGGCTTGTTTCCAGTCCACCGCCATGTGGATGAAGTGTATCAATACGGATGATATCGGTTAAATAGATGCCTTAAATAGAACAATTTTTTAATCATAAAAATACTGTAAGGCTTATGATGACGCAATGGGATATGTGCAGATTCAGGCTTCATCTACTTAATGAGATGTGCATTTATTATGTACTGCTGACATGCGAAAAAGTGATGCTCACTGTTGACACGCTAACGGTATCCATGCGAACCTGATAGCATGTACATCCTTAGAAAGTGGAAGTCCATCTCGATGAACTCATCTATATCTTGCTAGTTTTAGAAAAATTCATGATATTCTTTTGCGTCCTTCGTTTTTCTTACCGAGATATGGAATACATGGTAATTTTGTATTTGATAAATGATGTCTTAGTCGTTTCCAATTTTCATTGGATGAAACAAACTCTTTCAAATTTGAAAATGTTGTACGATCACGTTTACTAAGTCCCTAGAATATACGAATAATAGTACTAGAATTAACGTAACAAATAGCTTTCTCTTACCGCCCAAGTTCGTTGTAATCGATAAATAGGTGCACTTTGTAAAGCCATCACAACAGCCATACATCCATTGATATTATTGAATTCATAAAGTTTCTGAAAATAAAATAGAAAATATCTTATTAACGATAAAATTAAGAACTGAATTTAAAACAAATTACTTTGGCTACTCGAATAAAATGTGATAGAATTTCAATACGATTTTTAAGTATATCAGCACGTAAAAGTTCACCTTGAGTCCAAAAATTCACCTACAATAAAATTTGAATTTAACATTCAACATTTCATTTTCAATAACGAACATGATTAAATCTACGGGTAAATTGAACAATATGATAGGCTTTTTCAAGTTTAGCTTTTGAACTCCAATTGCAACTTGTTAATTCCTATAAACAAAAAAAGCAAATCGTGTACGTTGTTTGTTTATTAATGCAAGTAACATACATCTGGAGTGATAGCTTTGAATACTGGTAGATCCATCAATGTGATTTGTGACTAAAAAATTTCAAACATTTATTTTCATAATTGAGCTTTTCTTTTCTTTTTAAATCTATCTTGTGAAATCACATTTGCTTAATGTAAATCAAAAAAAAATTCAATGTATATTTCCCATGAGGAATATCAATCCAACAAGTATTTCTTATCTTTTAGCGTTCCTCTATATAACATCTTATTTTACTTTTCAACGATAGATCACATCCGTTGATCATTAATAAGATGAACTTATCTTCGCCTTTTTTTCTTTTCTTCTCAACAACATAACATATGGTGTTCGTATTCAACGGTAAAGATAACACCGCGTACAAGAAACGCGAATAGAGGATTATGTATACACTAAAGTTTACTCAATCGATCGCGTGTCAACAATATAGAAGGTTCTACGTATAATATTTGTAGTTGTACACATGACATATCTTTTTCGTGTCAAGATAAAAACAAGAAATAAACAAATCAAATATGAATTAAAAACTTACGGCAAAATCTTCAGCATCGACTTTAAGCACATCAAATACGGTTGTATCATAAACTGCATAATTTAATGATCCATTTGTGACGTTATCATCATTATGAAATGAAATATCATTGAGCAATAGACAATTGTTATTATTATTATTACTATTGCAATTGTCAACTTCTTCAGCAAGTATTGAATGTGCAACGTTACTCGTGTTGAGCATAATTTCAATCAATGAATAATCACTAACTAGAAAAGTAAGATCTATTTATACAATATCAATAAATGAATCAACGAATGAGCTAAAAGTAATGTATGCATGTTGACACAGAGTAAATATATGCAGAATGATTGAAATTGTCTATCTATAATTATTACGAATCATTGTGCCAATAATAAAGGTCAACTATATGTATGTATACGTGCATATAAACACATTGCTTTGTATTTTGAACTTACTCTATGTGATCTATTCTTCTACTTCCTTCTCTTGTATAAGTTGTATTCGTCGTAGTAGTATTTGTAACTGCTTTGCAATCACTTTTCTTTCGTTTCTCTTTTCTTCTCTTTTTCACTCGCCCCCCCCCCTCTCGCTCTCTTGTGTGTGCGCGCTCTGGGCTTCTTCTCTCTCTATTCACAGGTCCCTGTACAGACACACACATCGCTATATTGAACATACGATAGACTTCCGTTCTGTTAGCATCCTCCAATCGCTAACTGACTCGCAATGTTCGTTCTTTCTTTATCCTTATAGGTTAGCTCTATTATTCTTCAATTTCAAAAGGGACAACACGTGAAAGAAACATTAGCGATCGATTTACATTGCACTAAACAAAATAAACTAAAAGCGTTACACTTCGCGGCTTCATAATTACAAAAATACATCTTGTTGTTTGTTACCGATTTCGTACAGAAAACAACAAAACAAAATACGTACAATCATTCATTTACACATCTTCCAGTCTGTTCTACTGCTTTGTAAAAAACCTCTTTAAATAAAATTATCAACATACAAAATGATAAAGACCACGATGTTATTCATGAAACTCCGATCAAGGTAATCACCTTGATAACCGCATACAAGTTTTATATAATGTCAAGGCTAAACTTAGTGTCATACTTGGCTTTACGAAAAAAGGGGAAAAAAGCGGAAGCCTCTAAAAAATTGAGTTTTCATTCGCCCGAAACATATATGTGTATATGTATACATACATATGGATATATTTCAATGTATTTGCAAGCTCACGGCTTTTTGCTATTATAATTATTGCCTACTGATTGCTCAGTAGGTGGCAGACGACTGATCCGATAGAGTATGCTGTAAATATTTACTTATTTATATATTCAAGGATATGAATCAAAAACATCGACTTACTTTAGAATGAAACAAAATGAATGTAGGACTATGTTGATGGTACTGATAAATAATCATCTAAAAAAGATAAAGAAGAAAAAATGTACATAGTAAATTCTACCAACGACTCATTTTCTTTTTGTTTTTCTCGTATTACTAATAACAAGTGAATAAACGATTTTTAAATGTTTTCATACTTTTTTTTCTGGGCTCTTAAGAGAAAATGTAAAAAATAATGTTACATATACTCTACAAACTAAACGACGAAAATAAGCTGAATAATAATAATAAGAGACAAACAGAATAAAATAAATTACGATGATGTCATTCGTAGGCGTTTTGATGATCATCAAACATGTAGGTTTATTTTATTTACTTGACGTTCATCGAGAAGTTATTTTATCGATCTAGATAGTTAAATACGTAGATAAGTTTTATCAAGGTAGATCAAAGACAAAAATATTTATACGAATTCACTCGTGTTTCGTTCGTAAAGTAAAAAACAAGCAAGAGATTAAGTGTGGGTGTACAATGCATGTATATATTTTAGTTATCAATAATAAGAATACATTCATCGAAGGAACATTCTCAGTTTTATTTGTTTCTAAAGTCGTGTTAATTCGATCATTGGATATAATTTTAAAGTAATTGAATTCCGTTTATTATCATCATCTTGAAATATAATTGGATGTGTTAAATAATATTCAACCAAATTTGACAATGAACAAAATACCTGAAGATAAGAACAAAGCGTAAATTGTGATTCACAATGATCTTTTCAATTTGTATTAAATACTTTCGATGTTAACAAATCGATTTTGTCATAAGGTTCTATACTGTATTTATTTGAGCTTTGACAAATTTGAAAATGATAAATAATTTTATTATTAAACAAGACAGTCAACGAATAAGGATAATTGGTATGCGCACTTGGACGAATTATAAAATGGCCAGGCTAACAACAAGGCAAAATTAACAATTGCAAAGAAACGCGAGGCAATACTTCGATAGCAAGTCATACTTGAACATTAGATGTTTTCGTTAGAATATTTTCTGCTTCTACTCTCGAACATAGTATGCATGGTTGAGAAAAGGATGAATATGGTAACTAAATAATATACATATCAAATAAATTCTTTTATTAGAAAATAAACACGTACAGTTGTCGTATCACACGACGGTAATGTTTCTAAATATTAAAATCTATTAGAATGATCTGTATAATAGAATATGATATTTACCGCGATTTCTCAACAAACGTCGATAAATTTCTATGAAATCATAAAACGAAAAGAAGAAAATTTTAAGCAACATAGAGCGTGAGCAAAACAAAAGCTTAAGTTCAGAGAGATGGATACAAAGAACAAAACTACCTTCATTCTCTTCCTATAAGAGTTTCAAATCTGATTTCTTAACTTTTGTTGAGAAAACCAAGAAAAACTTACATCTTCATCATCAAAATATGGATCCATACTAGCTAAATTATTCATTTCGTAATCTGAAATTAAAAGTTCTTTCTATGTCATTTGATTTTGACGAGAAAAACGAATTCCATTAATTTCTTCAACGGTGGATAGTTTCTATTTAATTGTTCTACTATGAAACTGAACTAATCATACGTATTTTGACAGGTTTCATCTGTATTTCAATATGAGAAAACAAATGTGAACCCTTGAACAAAAAAATGATAAGAACAAGAACTTTAATTTGACGCATTGGAGAGAAATCAAAAAGAAAATATCTAACATCAACGGCATACACACACATATCTATAAACTGTCGATGAGTTTTCAATAACTTAAGATAAAGAAGCACACCAGTCGATGCAGAACAATGTTTTTTTTCTCACCTTTAGTCTTTGTCAGATCAATCAGTGGAACACAAAGAAAAAGAAAGCAAAACGCGCTTAAGAACAACTTTCTTTACTTCATTCATGCTATATAGCATTATTTCGTACTTTTTGTCTTCACATGAATGATTCTGACGAATTTTTTTTCTTTTATTTCTTGCTATTAAAAAAAACAATTGTGTTTATCTTTGACAGAGATGACAAGGATCAATAATATAAATTCTGTATAGATATCGTTAGTTCTTCTCGTCCTTGATAGAATTTCATAGGTCGCTCGATTTAACTCATGGTGTAGAAAATAAATAGATTAAATAAAATACTTTAATTATTATATTAATAGATTTTACATATGAGATTTAAAAACACTAGCAATAGATGTCGCTGGTAAAACACCCTTTTATGTCGAACTGAATCGCCAATGCATTTACATAAAAATATTACACACACATACACATACGCCATTCTTTGTCTCCTTCTAAACGGTTCATGAAGCATGGCTGCTACTAGCCATGAAAGACGAAGGAAAAAAATAGAATTTCCATTTATATGCATCCATAGTTTATTGTTTACGAATATATCTTTTTACTATTATTTCTTTTATCATCGTCTTGTAGATCTTGTATTTTTTTTAAACGTCACAAACACATAAATATCTAGAAAGTGTCTGTGACGATGAGTAACGAGAGCCACCCATCTCCAACAGGCTCTTCGTCTTCATCATTATTCGGTAAGATGTTTACTTATTTATTTGTTTTTATTTATGTCGTACATTTTTTTTCTAAAAAAAGAAGATTGCACGTTGCTTGCTTTTTCTCTTGTTTTTTCTTCTTTTCATCGGATTTGATCTTGTAAAAAAAAAAAAGAACCGAATCATTATTGTCTCGTTATTCTTCTTCTGCTATCTGTAAATAGGCGGTGGTGGTAGTAATATTGCTGGTGGTAGTGGACCTTCGCCTTATCCCTCACCATCAAAGCCAACTTGGGCACAGATTCTGAATTCAAATTCAAATCCCCAATCGAATCCGTCTACATCGACAACAACAGTAACAGCACATAACGCTGCGACTACATCAACATCAGGGAATAACAGTGGTGGTGCTCTTGGCAATCCACCTTCGTCACCATCCCCATCATCTCAACAATCCACTACATTGACTTCTGTTGGAGGTACACAGGTATCAGGGACCTCAAATATAATATCGACGACCACAAGCATTTCATCGTCTCAAGTAAAATCTTCAAACAGTGGGGCATTTAATTTTCCAGGAACGCGTAGTGATTTCAAGCAAAATTTTTATGATCAACAACAACAATCTGAAATGAATTGGCCCTTAAATTTTAATCAAACATCATCATGGATGATTGATGATGATACACAACGACATACAAATCTCGCTGGTTCTTCATCAAAGCAATCAGTTGATTCTAATCGCAATACACCAGGTGGTGGGGATGGTATGAGCTCTGTTCTGCTTTTCATATTCTCTACATAGATTTATGCACGTTCTTTTGTCTTTTGTTTTTATTCTGTTTGAATCCTTTTTGTTTTTGTATTTCTATATTGGTTTTTAAGAACAATTTTTATTATTGAATTCAATTTTAGGCTTTGATCGACTTGAATCCTCCAGTCCAACATCTGATTGGGGTAAGCCGGTGACAAACAATTCAGCTGCTAATGGTTGGTCTAACTTTCAACAACAACAACAAACAGTTAATAATCCGTCCAGATCAAACGCAGTGGGAAATAGCAATACATCAAGTAATCAATGGCCGGAAATGAACAATTTTTATGGACCTAATTCATCAAATAATGTTCCATTTAATTTACCTCAAAATAATAACGACAATCTAAACAATAATAGGTAAAACAAAAACGAAATAATTATCTTTGAAAATAATTTTATTTTGAAAAATTTATTTACTTGAATTTTGTTTTAGTGCATCATCAACATGGCAAGATCCTTCATTGTCGGGTAATGCTAATGATACGCTTACAATGACAACAGGAAGTATCAATAGTTCGGTGATTAATAAACATAAATCTTCATCGTCATCATCGATAGCAGCTTCGTTGAGTGGTGCCCTTAAATCAGCTATTGCTCTTGGTGGTGCAAATGCTGATCTTCTCGGCCGTGATAGTGATTCAACAATAGTTTATGTACCACAACCGAAACTTGTCGAACAATTAGGCTGGGATGAACCTGATATAAAAGTAAATAAACGTCCAAATTTTGATGATGGTACATCGATATGGGGTGATCCAATCGATTTAATATCAATGCAAGTTAAAAAATGGACCAATGGAACAAAAGCAGCATTGACAAATTCGACAAATACTATTTCACAACAACCAGCAGCAATCGTTCAAAAAAATGTTCCGACAAATATGCAAACTTCGAATTCAACAATAACTAATTCACAAATGGTGCTCAATGATGAAAATTGGCCAAAACAACAATCACCAATTTTACCACAGCAATCAACATCACAATGGAATGATACATCATCAGCAGTTGAACAACCAACTTCATCATCAACAGCACAACCAACAAATTATCGTACGCAACAATCAGCACCATCGAATTGGAATGCTCAACCACACCAGTCAGGTCATCATGGTTCAGATGATTGGTTTCGTGATGGTGTCGTTGATACAAGTGATTGGGGTTTACAAGTAAATTGTTTTGATTTAAATAATATTATTTCTTGTCTACACATATTATCTTTTTCTCGCTTCCACAAAAATTTTTAGGGTTCACAAAATAAGATTCCGTTTGATCCACACGAAGGTCAAGTTGATACAAGTAGTTGGGGAATACAAGGAGGTGCTGGCGGAGGCATGGGCGGACCATTAGGTATGCCACCAATGAATCGTCGATTTATGAATGATTATGATCCTAATGAAAATACACATGATCCTCATGGCATGCATCGTATGGGTGGCTATGAAAATCAATCAATGGGTGATATGTATCGACAAGGACCGGATCTTAAAAATCCTATTATGGGTCTCGGAGGTTTATTACCTTCATCAGGAAATGCTCCACCACATCACATGCTACCACCTAATCAACTTCCATTTGCTCCACGACCTAGTCCACTTTATCAACCAAATAGTATTCCACGACCCATGAATCCAAATAGTATTCCAACACAATCCGGTGCTATTATGGGAACAGGCAGTCTTATATCACCAAAATTATCGACAACATCACCTGTACCAAATCAAGCACCGTATGTTCCACTAGCGGCTAAACAAAATAGTATGCCAACACCACAATCTCAAACACCCACATCTCAACAACAGCCACAACCAGGAGCAGGACCTGTCAATAGTGGTGCAGTACATGCTCAAATTATGCAACAATTTCGTCTTGCTGTACAAGCCGGTTTAATTAGTCAAGATTTGCTCAATACAAAATTACCACCATATATGTTACAGGTAAGAACTATAATTGAAAAAAATAATTTAGCAATTGAAAAAATAATTTCTTTTAAAGCTTCTTCAAAAATTATTCGAACTTCAACAAAAATATCAATCATTATCAATTCAATTATCGGATTTTTCTAAACATAAACAACGTTTTCCAATAACATTTTTTCAAACTGAATACGAACGTTTATCAAAAGCAATAACACAGAAAAAACAAGAAATGTTACTGGTACAAAAACAAATTCAAGATGCACATGCTAAACTTGCACAACAACAATCAGGTGCACCGACACCAACTCAAATGATGTCAAATGGTCCTGGTGCTCAAAATCAACCACCATCAGGTGTATCATCTACGCAATCTCAAGATCAATTAGCTGAACGGATGCAACATTCATTAAATGTTGATCAATCACGTTTACATCAATGGACTAAACAGCAAACATCAACACGAGGTGCACAATCGTCATCATCAATGTTTGGACCACCTGGTTTAACACAAAAAGATTGGCAAACCAGTGGAAATAATTCAAATGAAAATTGGGAAAATAACCAAACAAATGACTCAAATAATAATAATAATAATAATAATAATAATAATCAACTTGGTAATATGGATCCACATTCACGTAATAATCAAGGATCATCGGCATTTGGTGATGCTTTATCGGAATTTGTCGATGATGCAGATGGACCACCACCATTCATACCTGGCCAATTATGGAATTGGAAAGCATCGTTACCCAATGTTGAAGATGATCCTCATGTTACACCAGGTTCATCAACGATGGGTCCAAAAGGACCATCATCATCTATGGGTAATCTCAATGTTGGCGGAGCAGAAAGGTAAATAGAATCATTTAGATTTTGTTTCTTCGTTTCAAACACACTATCAGAAGTGTTGAAGTAACAAGGACAAAGTAAATATATATACACCCTCGATAAATTTTCTTGATATAAGATCTTGTGCGTTTTTATATCAATACTATATGATAATAATGTTTGATCTCTTTCTTATTGAAATAAATAATTGTGTGATGAAAAGTTTTTAATTGAAATATGTTTTGTTTTAGCGCCTTTTCAAATCCTCAATTACTTCATCAGATGCATCGTCAACAAGCTAATCGATCACAATGGCAACCATCATTACATGATCAACAAGGTTTTCAATCATCAATGAATGATTGGGGTAAACCGCATCAATATCGAGGTACGTCAAAGCTACCAGCATCGCTCAATCATCCACCACCACCACACGCGTCTTTCGGCGGCTATCGACCCTATATGTAATGTAGTAACAATGATGATAGACGAAACAAAACTGACGAGTTCATTTCATTTTCGTATTGTTCTTTATTGATTTTTTTCTTTTTTTCTCGGCCAAAATAAAGTCAGTGAAATGATAAAACTGTGTCCTTTTTTTTCTCTCTTCCTTTTTTTGTCTCATTACAATCGTGTATATTAACATTTCATGCTCTTTCATTATGTGTATCTATCATTGTCGACTATATTTGTGTGAGTTTCACATAGAATTCTTTTTCTGGTTCTTTAAATCATATCTGTTTGTTCTCTTTCCGCTGATGATATTGCACTGCACTGAGAATTCCCTCCCGGTACCATCCAGTTTTTTTCTGTATGTTCGTGATGTGAATGTCAATTTGTTTTCTTTTTCATTCTTGTGTGATGTAGATGCTCTTATATGATGGCCGAGCTTCATATCGACAAAAAAAGTACAAACAAACGAACTAAACTAAATACAATAGATCTACTAGTGTTGTGCTGTGCTGCTCACGCACGCGTGTGTGTGCAATAATTTTTTTCTTCTTTCTCTTGAATCGTTGGTTTTTACTGTCAATCTATCTCGCTCTTTTTTCTCTTGCACATAAAAAGCAAATTTTTTTTCTCAGCTAATTTGTCTTCTTGTAGCGTGTGCGATGCTTTTAGGTATATATCAATGTATGGTTGTGGTGTGTGTGTGTGTGCGTGTGTTTGTGTGTAAATCAATACATTTGAATTGGTCTTTTTGCTCTGATTTTCTTCCTGATTTTTTTTTGTCTTTTGCGCTATACCGGAAAAGAAATCAATCATATATATTAATAAGATCTATTTTGTAGAAACTAAGTTGTTGTGAATGAAGTTTTCACGTATATATATAGAGATATGTATGTGTGCGCGTAGATAGATGTAACGCGTATTTATGTTTGACTTATTTCAAGCGAAACAAAAAGATGGTGATGACGAAAAGAAACCAATGGTTCTTTTTCTTCTTTTTTTTTGTGCTGTGTATAAAAGCAAGCAAACAACCTTCTTTTTTGTCTGTGCGTGTATATCTGTATCAACACTTGTCTGTTCCTGATGCGCTGATCTTTTTTTTTTTATGTTGCTCTTTTCCCTCCCTTTTTTTGCGTATGTTCTCTCAAACTCTACTATACTAATAAAATAAATAACTTTGACGAAAAACTTGCAAAAAAAACAAAATCTATTTCGATTGATTCTGATGTTGTGCAAAGCAAGAGTTAACTTTGCTGGTTGAACAGGAATGTAATTAAAGAGAATATATTGAATTATTTTAGATGGCATCATCTATTGATCTACATCCGCCGGTATTATTTCTATATTTATTTTTAAATCATATAATTGAGTGTCAAGTGTTTATTAGATTCATTGGGGACAAACGCAAGATAGTGTATCACTACGAATTGGACTTACGGATGTAAAAGTATGTAATTATTCCTATTAGGACTGATTCTTTGTATTTAATAAATCTTCTTGCTTTGAACTAGTCAATGTTCGATGAACACTTCCTCAGCCATTGTGATAAACGAATCATGATTTTATCTGTAGAATTATTCTTTTACGGAAGTTGGGTTCTTTCTTTTCTATTCTCATGGTCATTAGAGGAAGCATTGAAAGAGTGCATTTTTTGTTGTTGAAAGAGATTATCATTGTCTTCAATTTCATGTTACGCTCTGCATCGAAATTCCAAATTAGATTTGCTGATAATGACGATAGAGCAGTAAACAGAGAGTCATTAAAACTGTTGTTTTCTGCATTGCATCAGATGTTTGAGAAAGAAAATTATTAACACACGAGCAGATCATTTTCAAGAAACTTCAATCGATTGTTGAAGATAAAAAAATTCATCAGATATTTCTTTAGATAAACTAAGATGATGATATTATGTATTTAGAATACTTCTGTTGAAATAATCTTCACATATGATAATTTCTTTTCTTCAGAAATCTTAGTGAACGTTTCGAGTAAATCTGTTGAGAATTTAATTTAATACAATAGAGTTACTAATCTAAACCTTATCTACAGAAAGGAAAAAAATCTATAACACGTGTCATACACATTTTACTTATGACGCGTGCCTTTATTTCATTGGTTTGTTTCGAAACGGAAACTTGTGTATAACAAGTATTGAAAGACGAATAAAATTAGAAACAATAAATTAAATCTTTACAGAACTAATGAGGAAACAAGAAAACAGTATTATCAATCGAACTATCACATTATTTTTGACATACCTATTTCGATTAAAATCAATACCAAGTAAGTAATGTTTGAATCACAAAAGTCATTGTAAACGAAAAAAGAGAATATAAAAAAGTTTAAAAAAAATAGTATACGAAAATAGAATCATAGAAATTTCTCTGGAAAAATCAGTTTATTCAACATCAACTACATAATTAAATAAAACGACACATGAAACTAATCAACATGAAGTTTTGTAGTGGTACAACATTCTGAAAATGACTCTTATGGATTTATTCTGAACAATGCTAAAAACTTTTGCTATAGAAAACGATAAAATATCAAATGCATTAAATCAATGTAAGATATGACTGATTTTTTGTAGGATTATACTGAAAACTATACTTGTGCATGCCTATTTTGTTACATTGCATTGTTATACGCTTCTTTTTCTTACTATTAAATTATATCAGAGTCAATATGACCTTGTAAACAGTTTAAAGCTTCATTGGATAAGAACATTGTTCCACTTTAATAAACTTACGTCTTGAATAACTCGATGATTAAAATATATCTTTTTTTTCGCATGAGCATCAAAATATAGCACATTATCATTTGTTTTGTTTTCAGAAGAACAAACTTTTCTATATTACTTAACTATTTTCTAGTATCCAAAAATTGACATCAATGAATCAAGTGTTAGATTTCAAGCTACTGGATGTAGTGGATCACGTGGTGAACAATTATATTCATTTGAAATTGAACTTTTCGATAACATCGATTCACAAGTAAGTGGTAATTCGAAATTATTGTTTATGTGCAACTTCCATTATTATTCAACAGGCTTGTAATTATAAAATCAATGATCGTGAAATAAATGTTAGTTTAAAGAAAAAGAAAACTGTTGAAAATAATGTATGGCCTCGTTTGACCAAAACATCTGCTAAATTACCATGGTTAAAAGTAATAATTGGTATTCAATAATTATTTTCAAATTTTGCTTCTCGAATTTACAGGCTGATTTTGATAAGATGGCATATAGCGAAGATGAATCAGATGATGGGAAGAAAACATCGATGCCGGTATGTACAGATAAAAAAATGATGGTTTCATTTTTTTTAAAATATTATTCTATTATAGAAAAAAGGTTTAACTGATGAACTATGCAAATCTCTTCGGCAAGATTCTCGTAGAAACAAATCAAAAAGTAATTTTAAAAAGAAATTATTTGATACCTAGAAGATTTACCTATATTAAGACTGATAATCAATAGCCGGATAAGGTAGATGCACTCTTGAATCAGTAGACGCATCATATAGTATATTTACACTGTTGCTTCTAATAGGGTTATTAAGATTAATATTTGAGAAGAATATTATTGATTTTTTTTCTTCAAAAAAAGACTCGGATTGGAATAATCCAAATGTATAATCTTACTCAAAACTTTCTGATACAAAAGGGTTTCGAGTATTGGTATGAGCCATTTTTGTGCTAAGAGTTTGATTTACGTTCAGGAAATACGTATATTACTGAATTTATTGCGCGTAGTAATTTCTTTTTGGCATGATGCCATGCAAAAAAAAAAGTGAACCAAAAGTCACTTTTAATCACTTTTAATAGTAATAAAGTAATTTCTTTTACTATATTTCACTTTGCATAGTACTTTGCTGTCATTTTTCCACTTTCCATAGTACTTTATCATACTTTTCTTACTTTCAAAAGTACTTATCAGTACTTTTTAGTCAAAAAGTATGAAAAGTACTTAAAAAGGTTCACTTATAAGTACTTTACCCTGCGTAAAACCTACTATTGAGAGTACTTAACAGTCACTTTTTTGGGTAAAGTTTTTTACATCGGATATCTTTTACGATCGGAAGTCTGATGAATATATGATAGTATTTCCGATTTCCTATATATTTTATACAGAAAGTAATGTAAATATCGTTGTTGGAGTCTACCAGAGATGCCACCAGGCCGGCCTGCAGGCCAGCAAAAAAATTTTTTTTTTTAAACTGTAGCCCGCCTGATCCGTCCATCTAATATTGAACCAGGTTAACAGACTATGCCAGCTCAAAGTTATTGACCTGATTCAAGTCTTTTTTGTATGGTCTTTTTGTATCAATTTAATAGAAAATTAATAAAAAAAGACAAATTACTATCAATATTTTTCATACAAAAAAGACTTGAATCAGGTCAATAACTTTGAGCTGGCATAGTCTGTTAACCTGGCTCAATATTATATGAACGCATCAGGTGAGGCTACAGTTAAAAAGAAGAAAAAAAAATTTTGCTGGCCTGCAGGCCGGTTTAGTGGCATCTCTGGTGTCTACATCTAACCATTTCTCTTTCTTCGATTCAAGAAACAGACCATTGGAGCTAACTTAAATGCAGTCACTAAAAAACCATAATGCTGTTTTGATGTTTATAAAAATAATCATTTGTTGGAAACTATGTCAAATTAAATGCTTAAAATAAGCTCATCGTATTATGAAGCTTAAACCGTTTGAATTCTCTAATAAATATTCCGTTTTTTTTTTGTTTTTCGATAAGCGTTTTGATGAACGGAGTGATAAAATTTATATTTTCATTTTTAAAGACTTCATTGATATTCGAACAAATTGGTTACTCTTCTATAATCTCTTTCAATTTATGGCTTATCTATGGGTATTTACTCGTTTAATAATGCATTTTATTTCAAACGGGCGTAAGTATTATAAACAATTTGATTTCTTTTTCGAAAAACTATATTTTTCTTTAATCAAGATTTAAGCAATGGTTATAAACTTGTGGAAAATCCAATTAAATTATGTCAATCATTATCGGTTCTTGAAATAGTTCACCCATTGATTGGTTTTACTAAAGGTGACTGGTTCTCACCATTAATGCAAGTAAATAAATAGAACGAAAAATATATATTCGACTTTCTAAAAAGAATTTCTTATGTTGTTTTTAATTTAGTGTTTTGGCAGAAATTTAATTCTATTTATTGTTATTAATTTTAATCAGCAAATTAAACTGTCACCATTTATTTCTTATCTATTCTTGGTATGGAGTTTCGTCGAACTTTATCGGTACGTAAAAAGAAAAAACGACAATTTCGACACGAAACATGTTTCCTTCTTTCTGTTTTCTTCTTATTAAAGTTACCCATACTATGGTATTCGTCTATTAAATAAAGACAATCGTATAATTACGTGGCTTCGTTATACGATTTGGATTATTCTTTATCCACTAGGAGCATTTATTGAAGGTAAAAAGCAATATTTTTCCTCACTAGGTGTTTTTCTTATCAATATTCTTATTTTTGTTCAGGTGTCATAGTTTATAAAAGTATTGACTACTATCATTCCAATGGTTATTTCAGTCTGGCTTTACCAAATAAGATAAATTTTTCATTTAATTTTGCTCTGTTTCTTCGAATTTATTTAGTGTTGTTACCAATCGGTAAGTTAACCTTTATTAGAAGCAATGCAATACGGTGTTATTTTACTTTAGGTCTTCTTCAAATGATGAAACATATGTGGAATCAACGAAAAAAGACATTGAGAAAAAAGAAACAATAAAATATAAACCTTTTTTTTTCTGTTTACTTCGAAAATGATTTTGATTGATGATTAAAAAAAGTAAAATAATATTCTTATGTTGTATTTCAGATGGCAGCTATGGTTGCTTTACCAACTTTAGCTAGAGAGAAAAATTTCCGAAGATTATTATCATCAACTGAAAAATTACTAGAAGAGAACGCCATTGAAGATTGGAAACTTGATCAGGTAATAAACATATATATTTCTTCGTGTAGAATATTAAATATTTATTTATTTTTTGGGAATTTAGTTTGTTAAATCATTAACAGAAATGTTAAATGATATGCAGAAATCGATGAAGTAATAATTTATTTGTTTTTTGTCAAACGATAAAAAAACAATTGCTTTTATTATCTATAGTCGTCGACCAAGCTCCAAGCAACTTGATGAATATAAACAAAGAGTTGACATACTTCGTAGAAATATCGATATAACTAAATTAGTAGGTATAATGAAAAGGGAGTCGCGCTAAACAGATTATTTCTAGTTTCAATAATATCGAATTATGTTAAAGCAACATATTTTCATGTATACATTTTTATAAGATCCTTACTGGTAGCTTAATGAAACAAGAAGCACGAGAATGACTGGATTATTATTTTATAAGAGTCAAATGAGAGGTCGTGACACGACACTTCCGCGCAACAGTGATCGTGGGAGCAAAAGTTGAGGGTGAGCTCGAAAATAAGGGTGAAAACGAAATCAAAAGTGAGGGGACGAGTGACGGTGAGGGTGAAAGTTAGAATGAGGACTTTGTAAGCGAAATATTATGCATGAATCTGTATTGTGCGGTAGTGTCGCGCGCGAAAATGCCATAGAACCATGAGAGGCGGTTTTTATGTTCAATTGACATTTCAGACTGAATAGTTATGGTAGCGCTCAAAAGAATTTAGCAATTTCGGTAAAAAGATACGCGTTTCAGAAAATACTGACGTAGTGATAGAGAATTAGTGTTTGTCTAAAAAGAAAAAAAAAAAGGAAAGGAATAACGTTCAGAGTGTAGGCATCGTTACAAAAGATAAAAACACTTGAGTTTGATCTAGACTTCTTCTTGACTTGTAATAAAAGATTATTAGATTTAAATCATTGCCAATTCAGGACTCAACAGTTAATAATAAGAAGTTCGATGTTACCTCAAGAACGGTTTCGAATCTTGATTCATTACCAAATTATAGATGTTTTTGAACGAGAATTTCAATAGATTGCATAAGTCCTGCATTAGCTTTACGCAAAACTTTGTTGAAAATATTAAGAACGACTTGAAAACCATTCTTTCTTAAACTTTTTATCCATTCCGTTGCTAGAAAACATATTGAATAAATAGACGCCATTCAATCTCATACTACAAGTACGGTACGAACGAATGAGCTGGCCTGTAATGAGTTGTAAGCTAGGAACAACTCATAAGATAATGCCTATTTATTTACTGTAGCACTTGATTGAAAGCAAAGCATTCAGTTGCCTTTGACACTTAAAGAAGAATCTATTGCTAATCAAATAGTGCAGTTCTTGGTAATGAAAAAAAAACCTAAAAAATGTGATTAAGATTTGATATTCAACAGCACACAATTTCATGAGCCGTTCTTAACATCTGAGAAGTTGATGAGTTGTCTCACATTTAATAAGACATTGAGTTTGTATGAAAATCAAGATATTTTTGAGTAAAACGAAAACAATAATTTTAGTGTAAAATTTTTCTTATCAATTAATTATCGAATATCCAGAAAAATCTCAACGATAACAAACATGTTTTTTCGAAATATTGATCTGTCAAAAAAAAACAACAGAGAATCTTCTTACCACTGGGGATTAGATTAATTCAGTCAATATGGAAATTGACTATCTTAAAAAAAGACGCGTTCTTCTCGTTGAAATGTTTCTGATTGATTAATGACGATTCGATCTGTCTCGAAGCAAAATTCAAAGTCACATCTATTTGTTTCAGATTTTCAAAAGATATTCTGATTTCAATAAAAATGAATGTGAATCTTGAAAGATAAACTATAGACATAAAAACCTTCTTGATCTATTTTTAATTGCATACAAGGACAGCTAAATATATTCTCTCATTTGTCTCATCAAGTAAAAAAACATAAAATAAATGGAAAAAACACCTGAAAATTTTTCATGACAACCTGAACATATTAATATATAAATGAGATTTAAAAATTGAATCTTTTTATAACGCCATAACGCGTTTTATTTTTTTTTTAAAGTTTTAGTGACATGGAAATTTCTTAAGACGTCGAATTTTCTATTTGATGCATAGAGTAAGAACGACTGTTCTTGCGTATGGTAAATTTAAAGAATTTGTTCCTTCATAGCAACTAGGTGAATTTCTTTCTATTAGTTTTTTCTGAAAGTGTTGCACTAATTCTTTCTTTGCTATTTCTTTTTTCTAGAAACATATCTAAAAAATAGTTTCTTTTACATAATTCTGCCATTGTTTATCTATCAATTCGAGACAAGGATTAAGATTTTTCTATCAAATGTAGTTGTTCAGACTTAGCAATGTTTATCGATTATTAAAGAGAAACTTAGAACGATAGTCTAACTTGATTGAAACAAGAAAATATGATTTGAATGAATTAATTATACTTCCAGGAAGATCAGACATTTCCTCGACAAGTTTTACATCAAATATCATCAAACTCACCTATTCAAGAACAACGCAATGAAGTCACAACTGCACCGAAGGCTTCAATTGAACCAGAAAAAAGTGTCAGCGCATCAAATAAGTCGAGCCGCCGTAAGTTAAATATACTCGGATGGTATAAGACGAGAGTTTCTAATATTTATTAGATGGAATCTGACTAGAATAATTAGTGTCGGATGATGTTCAGACAACACCTTTTAACTGTATATGCTTTGATGTGATTCTATTAAATAAATCCTGACGACATTGATTTTTCTTTTTCTAGCAAATTTAAATCGACAACAACAGTTCATTGAATCCGAAGAAGATAAACAAGATGATATTGCTGCATTAATGATAAAAACAACTGAAAGTCTTCTTCATAGTGCCCAACGTCTTAATGATACTGTTAAAAGTGATCAAAAAGTTAGTTCCTGTTCTATGTATCTTGATTCATTCTTTTAATAGGAAAATGAATGTATTTATGTTTTGTTCTTCAGAAACTTGGAGAAGCAGAAAATCTAATTGAAACTAACACAGAAAAACTTATCGTTCAAAGTAAACGTTTAAAACATAACGCTTACAGTGGATCCAATTGTTGGATTTATTTGATGCTTATCATTGTTATTATTACATTTATTTATTTAACATTATTTATGAGGATGTTTCGTAAACGAACAGTTACAATAAAATATGCAAATAGTGGATCGAAATCAAGTATATTAAATCATTCAAACAATGAAACAACAGTCAATAATACACATATAACAACAATAACGAAATCTACAGACTATATAAGTTTATTGTTAAACTATGCGAATGAGAATCATACAGATTTATAAAATAAAAATATTGTTGAATTATTATTAATAATAAAAAAAACTCATAGAAGAAGATTAAAAAAAACATAGAAAAAGATTTAAAAAAAAAGAAAACAATAAAGAGAAAAAAGGAAAAGACAAACGAATAGCAAAAATAGCCATCGACAGAAATATGACACTTTTCTTTTTCTGTTACTTCGCCTCTGGCCCAAAAAATTTCTTTTTTTTCCCATTGCATTGTTCTCTCTTCAGCGCTATGACCTCTCTTTTCTTTAGCGCATCCTTTCTTGTTCCTGGTGGCTTACATTGATGATTTGTTTGTGTGTATGCTGTTTCTAAATACGAGAGATAGAGAGAGCGCAACAACTATGCATGTGTTCCCTTGAATATGGTAGAATACGACTGTCGATGATTTTCAAGCTATCGTTTCTTAGTAGTCCCTTATTACAAACATATGCCTAACTATTCCATTCCAATGTTTTTTTTATTTATAAAACAAAAGAAAAAATATATCTACAGCGTATATAAATAAAAGAGAAAAAAAGTAGCAATATTGCTATTCAAAGTGCCTATTAAAAATACTGGAGCATGGTAAGGTATTTTTTCTTCTTTTTTTTCTGTCAACTTAATTATTCGCTGCTCATTGAGAAACCAGAAATTTTCAAGTATGATGCAGGATTTAAATACGATAGTTTACATTATAGTAAGGTACATCTCATTTTTCTATTCACGATTGCTTGAACGTTGTTAAGAGCTGCAACATCGAGGCATACGTTCTTGTAACTGGTATTACTGCCCGCTTCTACTCTTTATTTTATAAAAATTTCTCTTTTCAATTTATAATAGAAAATTATAGACGATGATGATTTGCTTTGTATATCTAATCTGTAATTCTTCTTATTTATTCTAATCTCGATAATTTCCGTTCTCGCTTCCTGTTCAGTTGTTTCTCGATCGGGTTCTACCTTCTATCTTTAATCCTTTCTCTTTTATTATTTAGCATTTGTATAAATACTGTTAAGTCTTGGTCTCCGAATAATTTCGACGGCCGACAAACTATTTTGCTTTAAGATACTTTTCTACTTAGGCAATCTTCAAAGGTGATTAGAGAGAGAGAGAGAGAGACAGAGAAAGAAAAAAGATATTAAGAACTTGTGTCGTCGACAACAGGAACAATAACAAATAAACACACGTGCACACACTCATAAATACATCTCATTTTCTATCAACAATGCATCATCGCATGTTTCTCAATATATCTAAATCAATAATGGCATTTGAATTTGATTTTTTCAATGTCGATCGAAGTACGTGCTGTTCTCCTTCCACAATGTTTCTATTTAGCATGTTGAATGAATATGTTATTCTTTCATGAATGCTTTGAATCAAGTTATATTACTACGTCTTCTCTTTTTTCTATTTTTATCAAAACATAATCCTATCTATATAATCAACACGTGTAATCAGAAATCATTCGAGCACATGAATTGATCTCTATAGGCTAAAATAAAACGACGAGTGAAAACGATGTAAAGAACGTCATAATGATTTTATGATTTTTCAAGGAAGTCGCAAGAGAGTTATACTAGCAGCTATTGATCATGCATACAAGCATGAAATGAGACTGTAGTACCATGAACAAGCTCACTTTGATGAGAGCTTTCTTTGGTCTGTTTTTTATTTCCTCTATTTTCTTTTTTATTTCCGTTTTCTTTTCTTTTTCTGCGTTCGCCTAGTGCTTGCTATTCGGAACGCTCGTCTTCATAAGAGTTCTTGTGTGTTGCTCTGTCAAATATATCACTCTAATTTGATAGAGCTGTTTTGTTGTTTCGCACAACAAACGCACAAAAGCAAAAGAGCGCACCCGACAGTAACGCTATTAAAAGAAGTCATAATGGGCACATTTGGACAGCTACTATAGATAGTTATTGTATTAAGCAGAGTTGGTTTTTTCAATCATAAATAGACGAAGAAGCAACTAACAAGGACATTATTAAATATTTTACGTATTATATTCTTTCAGCAACGGTTTCTCTATTTTTAGTAGTATAATGTAATAAACTATTCAGTCAAAATACACTACCGTTAAGGTACTGGTCTTCGTTATTATCATGGTTATAAATAGTGAACAACGAGGCGTGTGTAGGCATGTGAAAAATTGTTTGCATTGATTCTCGTTCAATGGGGAATTCATCCATTCCGCTAGGCAAAAAAAAGCGATATAAAGTATTCACTAAGCTTGCTTCGTTAATTTTTGGCAGCTCATTGAACTAATCCGGTTAGGGACAAGACTAGAAATAATTATTAGAATGCATATCTGTCTTCTTTTTTTTAAAATTATTGAAACCCGACTCATGTATATAGATGTTTTCTTGTTAGTCTTCGATGTAGTCGATTTATAAAAAAAACAATTTTTTGTTTATGAATGAAAACAAGTGAAGAAATAAACTTTACAGTAATAATAACTATTATTATTATTATTATTATGTATAGTTAGAATAAACAAGGCAACTAATAAACGTAATGATCGATGGCTTTCATAGATCGATGACATATAATCTCGTATGATTGGAACATATACAAAAAACAAAATAGTAGTCGCTCTACAAAATAGAAAGAGAAAAAAAAGTACGATGCCTAACTAGTCTTACTATTGTTGCATACCTCGGCTTTTGTTTTTGTTTCCTAAAATGAAAAAAAAAGAAAGATAATAAGAATGGCAGGGAACGAGAAAGAGAGAGAGAGAGAGAGAGAGAGAAAAGAAAATAGTAGAAATCTACTAGTATATCGAGGGATGCTTCTATATGAAAGAGTATATTACGCTTATCTCAAATAAATGTATCTTTATTGGATTATCCTTGTGACAGAGAAAGAAACCACGACCATATACGCAAGTATCAGTCAAAACGTTTTATGAATTTTTGTATGTCTCTGTTGTTGTTTTATTATTTTGAGACAAACATCTTTATCATACAAGTGTACATGAATATACGCCTTTCTGTTTTTTTATTTTTGCATAGAATAGTAAATATGCTCCATCATTTTAACAATAAATACAAAAACTCATTGCAATAAGTTGATGTTACTTAGATTTATTTTTGAGAGATAACAAAATTTCTCGTATTGAAGAGAGCCAAATTACAATTTTTTTTGCTTTTATTTCGTTTTCTTGCTCTTTCCATCTAGTTGGAATTTTATGGCGATATTATCATAAGACACCGTGAAAATCTGCATGGGCATATAGAGATGGCATGATCTGATATTGTGTGTACATAGTGTGATTTTCTTCTCGAGGCCTCTTATCATGAGCTTCCATCATTTTGTCACTTTTCTATAAGCTTGTTGATCCAACATTGAAGATCGTTGTTTTTTCGTGATTTCTCTTTTCTTAATAATAATTATTATTATTATTATTATAAAATAATTAGTGTGTGATAAGCAAATTTCTAATGGTAGCTATTTCTGATGAGTTACTTGATCAATACTCAAAATAGTTGCGCATTTGGGAAATCTATTGTTAGCGAAATGAAAATAATTGTCGTGAGAAAGACATACATAAAGCAGGTTAGAAGAAAAGGAGGTGGAGAAAGGAAGGACACGACGAGTTAATGTTTGTGAGAACATAGAAATCCAAACATGTTTTGAAACAAAAGAAGTATTGATGGCTCTTTCGGTGGAAACTTTTTGTTTCTCTGTCTGACTCTCTCTCTCTCTCTCTCTCTCTCTCTCTCGGTCGTCGCCTTTGTTCGAACGACGAATATTGTTTTCTGAGGCGGGAAAAGAAGCAGATTGTAGAATTCTCAACAGAAAGATAAGATAGACTAGCAACAGTCATAGTCAGTCTTATTTCCTTCTCTGTCTCTGTCTCTGTCTCTGTCTTCCTTTCTTCTTTTCTGTTGATTTTTCTCTTACAATGAAAAGAAATATTATTTATTGTTTCATGATTTTTCTATGCAAAAAATATTTTCAGAATCTATCACATTCGTTCCACGAAACGTTAGTAATGATAATGATTATAACAATGATAAAGATTGTATTGACACTGACCAGGTGAGGAAGATTTTTCTGTCTACCTTTATCACCGTATGGCCTCGCCCAATTGGGCTTGTTCAATTGGTACCTATAACCTGATTTCAGTGCATCGAGCCGAACATAAATTGATAACTAACACAATTAACGTTACTATAAAAATCGAATCGAAGTCATTCCGACTTTATGTTCGTCGATTCGATGGACTGTTTTTTAACATACAATTTCTCGTGTGTCAATGGTACTTTTACTCAGCTCAATTCGTCGTCAGTTATATTTGGAGACGTACTCGATCCAAGTATCATCATTATTGACGACAGTTCAAACAACAATCTAATATCATCAATAGATCATTCACCATCATCATCGATACTTGTATCCGTACAACACTGTATAATAACAGCACTTATTCTTGGAGTAATTATAGTAGCCACCATAACTGGAAATATACTCGTTATAGCTGCTGTAAAAATCGAAAAAAACCTTCATTCAGTTGCCTATTACTTGTTTGTATCATTGGCTGTGGCCGATCTAATGGTAGCGTCCATGGTAAGTCATTAATAAACATTATATATTTCTTTCCTTGTTTTATGCTCTTTTAACTGCCAAAAAACAGGGCTAGCTGAAGAAAATGAAAAATGAAGAATATGAAACCGGTGAAAAACTATTGTTTTCGAATAAATCGCTTCAATCAATCTTAGTAACTGTGTTAATGAATAGTGAGACATATATTATGAAACAGGGTCTTTGACTTTCATATATCCATCCATCAGTCGATATATTTAACGTAGTTTTTTTCTATATCTCGTCCGTTCTGTGCGCGCGTTTCTATTGAGAAATTGGCAATATGTTAATGTTCTTAATGGAAATTTTCCTTACAAAAAAAAAGACGAATAGTGTAAAGAATTACGACTCTATATGTTAAGCTTTTCTATTATTTATTTAAGAATATGCATGCACTATACAACACCCTTTTTGCTTTGTTTATGAGACTAACGAATGATGTTTTGATGATCTGTATGCGCTTAAATCGTATTATAGTCTTGAATTTTTCTTTGTTAAATGATGACATAGAAAGGCAACGTCGACAGTCCTATTTTGATATATTGACAAGTTTCTTTCCCCCAATTACTTGATTCTATTTTCTTGGTTTATACTAGAACAAACAAACAAACAAACAAATAAATAAACGAATATATAGTTGACTCATTTATCTTATCTAAATTAGCATAGATAATTGATTTGACCAAATGATCCTTCATCTTCGCTATAAACGAACTGTCCATAAAGATTCATTCTGTTTAATATCCAACGGCACCTATAAACATTGCATAAAGAGTTTTTCTTTTTCTTTTTGTTGGCTTAAAATAAATCAAAAACCTTTACTGTATCTGAAATTTGATGGAAAACAGAATATAAACCAGCTGCCATTATGATTAGTATTACAATTCTTTCTGTTTTTTGTTGTTATTATTACTGAATATCAGTGGATATTGTGGTGGATATATGAAAAAAAAGAAGAAGATTATGATGATGATGATGATGATGAAAAACTAATAAAAGAAACATTCTCATGAGTCGTTTCAGTTCGTTTCTTTCTTATTCTCGTTGTGCATGATTGCAGTTTGATTTTATTATTAAAATTATTATTCAATGTCATGCACAATATTTTCCTTATTCAAGGCACATATAAAAAACAGATTCACATGAATTTTATTTTCTGTTCTTTTTCTCATTTTCATTATTTAATTATCATATTTTCTTCTTTTGTTTAACACTAGAGCTTTTACTGATGTTTACCGCATTGATCTTCGTCATTTTTCTTCTCTCAATGTGCGATCGTAAAAGACTAGCAAGCTAAAAACAAAAAGAAAAAGAAAAATAAGGACCGAATCACAATAGAGAATTTTGTGAAAATTGATGCTATCAAATCTTTCATCGTAATAAAAATGACACATCAAGCATAGTTTTTTTTTTCTCCTCTGATTTATTTTAATAATATTTTTAGTTTTTTCTTCTTTGATCTTTAATGATCCTTGTTGTTGTTCTGTTTTCTTTTAGAATAAATATTCATCTACCTTGAATAGTTGTAGATATATTTCGTATGTGCATAGGCAAATAAACTTTGAGTCTGACATTGTCGACATTACCACATTAGCATTTGGAATGAGGCTTGTTACCCGTCTGATTAAACATGTCGATCAACAATAACAACTAAAGCAGTGGCAGCAGAGTTAGTCAGTTGAATTATTTGCTTGTCATTCAACATTAACATCTTTTTCTCTTGTATATCTATATAATTGTATATGTATGTATGCTATGAATGATTATTCTTAGGATTCTCTTTGTCTATCTAAAAGAAAGGCTTTTTCTTTTTCTCTCTCGATCTCTCTCTCGTCCTTTCTGTAATAACAATGCATTTCGCTTATTTTGTTCTCTGCGACTATTTACTGAACAATAAATTAGACTTATAGATATATCTTGTTATATACATATTTGTCAAGTGGATTTATAGCTCAAATGTGTTGCTGTAAAATAAGTTGTAATATACTTAATAGCATCGAAGTTATTTAAGTGCATTGTTCTAGCGAATATTTACATTCACAATATTAGTCGCAATAATCTCAGTCAATAGACAAAAATGCTAGTTAGCTCTTTTTGTTCAAGTGCCCGTCGTATCTCTATACATACAGATAGATCGAAATCTAATAAAAGCAAATCTTAAGAAAATAACGTGTGAATGAATAGTTGATGTCTAAAATCTATATTTGCCATCAGTGAATAAATATAGAACAAGAACAAGAAGAAGATGAAGAAGAAGAAGAAAAAATAATCAACTAATAAATAATAAATCTATTGGCTACAAAATAATAGAAATCAAATGAATAACAATGAAACATATGATGACGCAGTTGCTAATACTAAAACAAAACAAAGAAATATGATTGTACTTAAATAGACTTTGTTCTATAGATTCATTGAGAACAATGATTGATGATTTTAATATTAAAAGAATTTTTATTGTAAAAACAATTCTCTTATCAATCAAATATAAAAGAAAGAGTTTCTTATTCTTTTAAATCGAACATTTCTGAGATGAAACAAAGAGAACAAAAAGATTGATTATTGAAAAATGTTTATTTATTTATTTATTTAGGTTATGCCAATAGCTGTTCTAAAAGAAGTGACACGTTCATGGGTGCTTGGTTCAATTATTTGCGATGCTTGGGTTATGATCGATCTACTGTGTTGTACGGCTTCTATACTGCATCTTGTTGCCATTGCACTCGATCGTTATTGGGCTATTACTAACTGTAAGTGATTAATAGAACGATCATGGAAGATTATAGCGAGAAGATAACGATAGAAATTCTTCTTAAAAAAATGTAAGCTATCAGTGATAAATATTGACATAAGTAACTCTAATGGATGAGAAACATATACTTGAATATCTTTGCTAGGCACGTCTCGATCAGATGCTTCATAAGCTATAGTTATGATTATAGTTATGACATGAAATAATGACACATATAATAACATTAATAACCTTAACAACAAATATCCGAAGTTCAGATTTCAGTTAAATACATATTTCTTATTTTATTTTAAACTAAGCTCAAAACAGATTTCTTTAAAAATTTAATAATGATAAGAACAACTGCAGGTTATTGATAGAAATTTTTGTAAAATATTATTCAAAATGAAAAGTTATTGTAAAAATTTTTATTTTTCTTCATTTAAAATCAGTGGACTATGGAACAAAACGTACACCCGCTCGAATTCTTATACTTATTTGTGTTATATGGGCTACATCCATTTTTATATCAAGTGCTCATCTATTTCCTATATTTCGTGACAAACGTGGTCGTCCGCCGGGCCAGTGCCATTTGATTGGCAATGTGCCATATACAATTATATCCACAGTTGGAGCTTTCTATATTCCTCTTATTGGTATGTGTATTATTTATTGGAAAATATTTCAAGCAGCAAAATTTCGTATACGTCGGAAAGCATTCAAAACTGATCGTTCTCCACCACCAAAATCTACTATGGGAACAACGGTAACATCGCCATTGGCTCATGGCCAACATGAAGTTCTACTTTTATCCGAAACTCCAACATTAAATCATGAAATAAAATTAACAGAAACAAATAAATATCAAACATTTTCACCATTACAAAAGAAAAAATATCCTCATTTATTTGATCATCATTCACCGGATATTGAACCCGATAGTGCATCTCTACCTTCATCGTCAACAATGCAATCGAATAATGATTATCAGTTACAATCATTGAAAAAGCCTTCATATTCTTTTCTTAAAAAGACACATGGAACTATAGTAACAACAACAACAACACCAACAACACCACCACCATCACCATCACCTGCTATTCAATTATCGACAACAAATCGTTTAAAAAACGAATATAGTGGATTGCGTCGAATCAATTCAGCATGTTCGCCTATGTCAACACGTTGTATAACAACATCATCATCTAGTAAATTTTCACCAACAACAAAACTAAACGATTCAATAATAATTTCGAATTCGTACTCAACGAATTCAACTCATATTATCGATACGCCAACAACAAAACCGTTGACAAAGGAGAATTCGGCTAATTCAAGTTATACTAATTCTTGTACTACGGCGGTTGGTAATAATAATAATAACAATAACAACAACAATACAGTCATTATAGCAAAATCTTTAGGTACAGTATCACGTAAAAAAATTGATATTAAGCGTGAACGAAAAGCAACTAAAGTTCTTGGTATTGTTATGGGTTGTTTTATACTATGTTGGCTACCATTTTTTATTGAAGAAACAATATGTGGCTTATTTCATTTAACAATAAATGAAAAAATCATTAGTGTTTTAACATGGCTTGGATATTTAAATAGTCTCTTGAATCCTGTGATTTACACAATATTTTCACCTGATTTTCGGCAAGCATTTGGGAAAATCTTATTTGGAAGATATCGTAAACGAAGATGAACCAACGAACAATGATCTGTTTTTTTGCTTGTTGTTCATATTATATATATTTCAATTTCTCTATGTTTACTTATGTTTTGGTTTTTTGATCTCTCATTACGTACCGGTTATTAAACAAAAACAGTTTTTTTAATATTCTCAGTGGGCATTGTGCAGTAATTTGTGTATCTCTTTTTTCAAGTAAAAGTCTTGATCTTTTCTTTTTTAATTTCAAGTGTAATCATGCACTTTGCTAATAGTTAATCTGCCACGAGATAAAATTAAACAATGCGTTTAGTGAGAAGGAGTTATACGAGTTCCGATGTCGATCAAAAAATTTAAAGAAAAAATTCTACATATTGCTCCGTAGTAGATGTTTCTAATGATCTGTAAATAAATATTTCATTAGAACATCATTGAAAAATCATACTGAATTTAAATAGAATTAGTAATTAAAATTTTTACTATAGTATCTTGTATATAAATACGTGTGTTTATTATTTCCAAAGGCTAGATGTCCAAGGACGTTATTTCTTGTCATCTTAGCTATCTTTAGAGTAATAGGCTCAATGAAGCTATATCAATTAAGTTGAATTCCAATTATTGAGAAACTTATGATGAGAAAAAAAAAGAAATTTTCACCAGTTGAGCTCATTTTCTATTATTGACGTATTCTACGTTGAATAAGGTTGCCGTTTATTTCCAATCATAATTTATTCTATCTCCTATTCACATTTGGAATCATTCATAGAATCAATTGTGATCATTTAATTCATCTAGAAAATGTGTTCGATAATATGATGAATGTGCCGATTAAAACAGAAGAAGGTCAATCGTATCAACAGCAAAACAATTTTCAACACCTAGAAGTGTTTTCTTTGGCTAAAAGTCTGTTTTACAATGTTAGAACATCATCGTGATAAACAGCTTTCACGATTTTCGAAACATAAACGTTCGCGACAACGACTAAGAAAAAATGTTTTCCGTTTAATCGTCAATAGTTTTTTTCAATTTTTATGAAATGAAAACACAGTATACCAATGAAACAAATAAAAAATAAAATATTAACCTACATTCTTTTGTTAACCGGCAAAAACAAAGAAGAATTCGCTTCTGTTATTTAAATAAAGTAAAATAAATAAATATAAAATTCCCGCTTTAGATATAAGATATACTAATCAATTTAGTAATAGGAAAAAAAGCCATGCCATTAACAATAAATGATTTACAAATCCGAAGTAAGAATGTTCATGATTCAAGTGATTTGTCGAGTGAAACATGTGAAAAATTTTTTCAAATCTGGTCTCATAAAGCAGCTAATATATCCAACGATTTAATTGAATATACAATACGACATAGACAACTTGATCGTCTTCGTTTTCTACTTCAAACGCGTAATGAGCTTTCTCAGCGACAAAATGTTTCACCTATTTGTCAAATATTAACACACACTGGAGATGATTTACGACGAATAAATGAGCATATACGTCGATTTTGTTTAAGTACAAGAAATCTTTATCGACATTTACGTTCAGATTCACGTATATATCCTAAAATGTCGATTGCATTAGATGAAGGTATCATAATGAAAATTTGTCGATTTATATTTAAGACAAAAGTTTTAATTAAAATAATCTCGAAACAACAAAGTTTAAATGTTGAACAAAATGAGCAATCAAATCAAAATAAAATTAAAAAAAATGATCCATTTAAAAATATTACAAAAGCATTTATTGCGTTACAATCAAATTTTGAAATACTTTTTGGTGATGTTGTAGAAAAAGATTTCTTTCAAAATGCAAAAGCAGGTATTCTACGAAAAGTATCGTAATCTTGAAAAACTTTAAGATCACAAGGCAATAGTTTGACACGCACAAAACTACCGTCGATTAAGATGAGTCGACTGTCAACGAAAACAAGACATCATGTCTATTCATCAGTAGAAAAAATGTCACGCATATTAGTACAGTTTGAGTATCCACAAGGGAGTCACGAAAATTCCATATTCATTAAGATCGAGAAAAAATTAATAAATTATTATCATTTACACTAGAAGCACGTGACCTTTGCCAATTCAGCCCAAGACAGGCACGCTTATCAACGAACATACATTAAGACATGGAAAGAGCAACATTTTCTTATATACGATAATATACTGAGAAAAAGAAAAGCTTGTTCACTACTATGCTACGCATAGATTGTATACAATTTTGCTCTTCTCCGTAGAAATATGCGTTCTACCGTATACGGCTACAGCGATATATGAGCTTGATAAAGGTGTATATTGACTGCGTATTTTTTCATATCAGCATACCAGTTAGAGCCCGGCGGGTCCAATAATTTTTCAATTCGGGCCCGGAAAAAGAAATACGTGTGGTTTCATCATTTTTAAAGATATTGCACCGTTCCAACATGTATCTTGTAGAGAAATGATTCCTCTATCAGCTCATGTATTTAGAAACATAATTACAATAATTTTGGATGTCCAAAATTTTCTTATTACAAACTTCCGGGTTCAAGTTTGGGCCCGGTTGGACCCGGAAAATGTGGACCCGGAAGTTTGTAATAAGAAAATTTTGAACATCCAAAATTATTGTAATTATGTTTCTAAATACATGAGCTGATAGAGGAATCATTTCTCTACAAGATACATGTTCGAACGGTGCAATATCTTTAAAAATGATGAAACCACACGTATTTCTTTTTCCGGGTCCGAATTGAAAAATTATTGGACCCGACGGGCTCTAATGCCAGTAGTGTAAGCATTGCCAAAAGTAACTGTTGTAGATCACTTTTTACGGCGAGATATTTGATATGCACAAAGGTGAATCGAACTTTCCAACTTCGTGGGGGCGATTGAAAGATACCTGTTTAAGAAAATCTCGCAGAAAAATGTAAAATTTTGATACAAATTGTTGTTTTTGCTTGTAAAAACTACTATTTTTTAATTTTTGGGACACCGCGTCCCAGTCGAATCCCCCGTCGAAACATCCCTGGGTATGCATTTATTTACTAACACAAACTGTATCGATCAGATATAATTATATATTACTTTGTAAAGCTGTCTCAACGACTGTCATTACTGTCTGCATTAGGAACATTCCTGTAGGCAATTACCGTTAAATAGACGATATAAATAAAAACAGGGATCATTCTAAATGACGAGCTATTCTGTTGTCAATATAACTATCAACGAAAATTAGATATTGATTTCATATCAAATAAACATCTTTGTTTATGATAAAGCCGTACAAACTCTTCCAATAATATTGGATACTAGTAAAACTATTCGATTAATTTTCTGTGCATTATATAAATTAACTGAACCCGAGCGTCAAGCAGAAGTAGAAGCTATTCGTCAACGTCGACTAGGTATAAAAATCTTCGCGCATACTTTCTTTATAAATTGGAGTTTTTTTCTAAGCACTTGGTACTCATGAATCTAGTACAAAACAAAACAAATCAATAGCTAGAAGTATGCCAATGAAAAGAGAAGAAAATATGAAATTTAAAACAACGAATAAAATGTTAAAAAGAAATCAATCACAACTCTTATATAGTTCCATGGGTACAAATACTAGAGCATCATCATTATCTCCAAATACAAAAACAGATAAATCAGCAAATCAACTATATACTAAAGTTAAAAATAATCATCTTTTCTCTCTCCTGTAAATCTCTTTCTTATAGATAAAAGGAAGATCAAGAAAAGTACAAGTTCCCAAGTAATAAATTACTCTGTTTTTTTATTATTATTGAACATGAAAGAGCATCCGTTTTCATTTCAAGACATCAATCAAATATCCGAGATAAAACAAGCAAGTTGATTCAAGTCATCAGCATAAATCTCTTTTTAATTTTAGCTGCAACATCTAACAAAAAAGAACTATTACCATCATCCTCATCATCGTAAGTTTGTCCTTCAATATCAATCTGATTCAATAATCTATTAAATTTCTTAGAGTTAAAACAAGTGTTCATTCTTCGAAGCATTCCCTACAAGAACAAAAACAAGTACTTCTATTCTTATATTTTATTGAAACTAAATTTGTTTTTTATTACATTCATAATCAGAACAAAAGTTCTCATCGAAAAATGAAAATTCCAGTATAGTTAAACATAAGAGACTATTTATTTCCATTTTTATTTTCGTTCAGAAAAGCACAAAGAATAAGAATGCATCGGCTACACACTCTGCTTCATCGAAGCTCCATAATGAAAGCACGAATAATGATAATAACATCGGAATAAAAATTCAAAGTTCAAATCAAACTCCAATAATGAACGAAAAAAACGTTGGCTGGACAACATGGTTACATAATGCAAAGCTTAGTCTTACTTCTATTTTACAATCAAGCCAAACTAATAAACGTATGAGAAATATTCAATGCAGGCAAATAAAAGATTTGTTCCGATTAGATGTAAGCCTATCAAAACCATTGCTAACAACATGGGCTTCGCTGGATCGAATATCAAAGCTTTAACATTTTTTTTTCAATAGCACATGACGGCATCCTATTTGGTTTATTACTACTTGAATTGTCGCTCATAGCAAGCGATTTTTTCTCTTTTACTTTGTAATTAATGTGAATCATTTTTGAAAATAATGCAAAGAAAAATTTTTCTTTTAAATATATATTATTCTAAGAATAAAAGTCCACTCTCCTATCCTAATGAGCGCAAAATGGTAATATAAATCATCGAATAGATTATTCCAAGACATTTGCTGTTTATTTTGAATGTTTTCTCCGCAATGATTTTCATTTGCTCGACATTTTTTCTAATAAAGAACAGATCGGTTTCTTTTCTGAGCTGAAAATAACTATGTACCGTCAACATTAATCAAACATAGCTGCTCAGGAATCACCGCATAAGAAATACGGGTGATTTGCTATCAACATGTTAGACGCCGTTGTGTCGCTCTGGCATGGTACGCAGACTAGAAATGAAACTGTAAATCTTTATTAATTTGGCAGAAACAAGAATGATAGTTGTAGCTAAGAAATGTGATATCTTCCACGAATGATCGGTTAGAATTCTACAAGATACTATTGAACTCCAAACTACGAATCCCTATAAAAATGAATAGAATATTTATTCTTGAAACATTCATAAGATTTTACTTACGTATTTCATAAAAGTAATAAGCCACGAGTTTTGTAATCAAAATTTTAATTTCTATTTCTTACTATGGATTTTTTAGCTGTATACAAGTTTTTAGAGATAAAGCGGAATGGGTGCAAACGCCATAGGTGAGTATTTTTTAAAGTTCTCAAATCAGTGCATCACAATAGGCATAGTTCAATCGTATCTTCATCACGCCTACGAAGTGCCCATGACACATGACATTTTTATGATAGAAATAGTGTCAATGAATGCACGATTCGGACTGTTTAATGATGCGCAAAACAGAAAAGGATTGAAGTCAATTTGACTTCATCGGTAACTAGTAAAATTTTCAGATAGCTGCAAAAATCGAATTGATCTAATCATAGACAGAAAAAATGCTCATTCCTAAACGTTCTAATTACGAAAGAAATCAGAAATTTTGCTCTGATTCACAATATTATTTCCGAAAATTTTTCATAATTGACAACAGAAATGAAAATATGTTGTTGAACTTTAATTATAAGTTTACAAATCTGAAAATATAGCTGGTGTCCATCGCTGACTTTATCAAATATGTAAAATGACTAATAGAAAATACTACGAAGGCGGAACAAGCACTCATTCGTCATAGTTGAAATCAAACTAAGTATCTCCATTTTCTGTATGAAATCGACAAAGAATTGCAGAATCTTACTATCTTCTAAATTGTTCTCTTCAAGATTTCATAACAGATTGATTTATCCGTAAGAAATGTAAATGTATTAGTTGTTCATTCCATACTAAATCAATGTTGGTACAACTTTTAGGCGGAAGTCAAAAGATGGCGATTAAAAGCTATTATTTCTTATCATAGGAAGTGATGCTTATCGTATAAGATTTATCCTTCCTTTAGCTAATGGAATTCTTTTCCGTTTGAATTCTACACTTCTGATAGACTGCTGAAATAAATGGTAGCACTTTGTATATGAAGAAAACAGTTCAATACTATGAAAAAAATATCATTTCTATAAAAATCTTGATAGAATACAATTTTGATGTTTTAATTTTCAGATTAACCTCGAAGATTTAAGCAGTATCATGTATAGATATGATTATTATTTATGAAAATAAAATAATGATCAGATTTTTTTTTCCACCCAATAATCAAAGATACGAGAATGCAAGCTGACATCAAATCTATCAAATCATCTATTTTCATATTGATCGCTGTTATTCATCTAAAGCTTTTAACCTAATAGTAGAATAAAGGTCGTCCATCATTAATAGATGAGAGTCTTCTAAGAACTCGAGGGCTTGACTCAAAGCATCTGCTAATAATTTGTTTCGAACAGTACTGTGCTGATATTCTTTCATTCATGAAAAATGATGTCACTGCCAGAGTAATACAAAATAGATAGTAAAATGCCAGTTCCATTGAAATCCTCTAGCGAGGAGATTTTTATCAAATATCATTCGTTTGGACTAAAGCTAAACTAAGAACAAAAATCAAAACGATATCTATCTAAAAAATCAATTGCGCAGACGCAGCTGTCATCAAAAAAGAAAAATGATTAAATATTTTGAAGTCGAAAAATAGGTGCTCGCTGAATAAATGTTTATCTCATATTGATTTTATTAATGGTATGTTGTAGACACGATCTTGAGTCTCCACTTTTTTTTTCGATGATAAATCACTGATGATTATCGTTACGTTTTAATGATTGTATATGTTGACTTTATCTCTTTCGTTATTTTTTCTTGAAATAAAAATCATAAAAATCACTCAGACGAAGAATGATTAATAAATAAAACCTGCATAAAATTGAATGATTGAGCATTGATATTCTCAAGGGATAGTTAAACATTTATTCTTGAAAAAAAACTATCCCCTGAGATTAAAATCATTATTATACGTCTATCATTAAAATGTAAACATAGTTTAAGGTCATTGTTCAATTGAATAGAACTAAATCGCCGATCGATGTCATTCGATCTACGTAGAATTATTCAAAAGCTCGACCATATCTATCTCATATAAATAAAGTTTCACATGGAATGAATGAAAAAAGTCTTGGATGTGAACGACATCATAGAACACACAATAGAGGATCGTTACCATGTTAACGTCACTATTTGTTACTGATGAATGTCTTATTTTCAAAAACGACAAGAAAATAGCAAACACTTTGCTGCATCAATAGTTTGTTGTAAACCATGTCGAATATTCAACGAACACGTCGCATTCCTAATGCAGGTGGTCAAATATTAATTGAAAATTGGGTTGAAGAACGTGCAACTGAACATATTGATCATCGAATCGAACAACATAAAAAAAATCAACACACTCCAGCATCATCATCGTCGTCATCACCGGTTGCTATTAAGAAAACTGCTCATACTGCTATATTAACACAACAATTGCAAGCTCCTCTCGATAATGTAACAACATATCGTCAGAATTATAATAAATTTGGGCCATTTGAACAAAAAGAACAAGGAGCACGACGAAAACGCCTTGAAAATGAATTAACACGCCAAGTTGCTTCAGAATTAAATGCACGTAAACGTGAATATGATGAAATGTTACGTCAACAACGTATCGAAGAATCCAACAGTGAATATCGTACACAATTCAATAAAGAAGAATTTGAATCTAAGCCACCACCAGCTACACAGGTGCATAGTCTTAATAGGAAAAAGAATCGAAAATATATTCTGTTTGTTATCAACAAACAAAGTTGATTCATTGTTTGACAACAGAATACAAATAGTGCATTCGACTAGTATTATTCTTCATCGTTGATTTTGACAATAATAACATTTTAATTTTGTTTTTCTATCAATATGAACAAAAAATAACAATTTAAACACTTCAATTGAATGGGTCAAAAAGCTAATATGTCTTCTATCTTTTAGCCTCATGACCTTGCTCGTGAAATGCCTGTTTCGTTTTGGACTGAACATCGACATACAACTCATGTAATGATTCTTTTAAGAAAACAAACTTTTCTCTACTTATTAAATAAATCTATGTGCTTTCTTTTCTAGGGTGTCACACAATTAAAAACATTTAATAGTCCATTTCATCGAAATGCAAGTTTTAGTACACCTGTCGAACTAACATATGAAGGTGCTCGTCCTCATGAAATGGAACAATGGCCAATTTATTCACAAAAATCACTTAATGACGCTAAAATTTGCTGAAAATATTATACTTGCCTTTTCAAATTTAAATAAATCTACACGTCAACTTACATATTGCATCGATCTTTGTTTTATGCAATTGATTGACAATAGAATAGACAGAGGCAAATGTTAATTGAAGAGATGAAGAAGTTCAACCGTGCATATAGCATAGAACAGTAGACACAGACAGGCACATAATCAGCTAGATGCGGATGTGCCAGTAAGGTCAACGACTGTTGTTGCATATAGAAATCAATTATAGATTGGATTAGATTCATTGTTGTTTAAAGATATTACATATGGGATCTCTTCGTCTTACTTTAAGTCGATGATAACGTTTGATTAGAGTAGTAGAAGTAATGACACACCAGTTTAACCTTTAGACAGGCACAGTATCGATACTGCACGTCCAGTCAATAAATGAATCTATCCGTATATAACTGTAGACATCTAACCGAGACTAACTGATTCATCACATGCAGTATAATAAGATCAATACAATAAATTTCGCAATCTGATGTTATATTAACGAGGTCAACAGTTCATTTATTTTATTTTTAATACTCTATGCGAAGGTGTTTATAAGACTATATGTGTGAGACGAAGGCCAATTAACTTGGATGAATGAAACTTGGTCATTGTGAAGATTAAAAAAGAAAAGATGTGAAAAAAGTGTAGAAACCTGCATGCTTAAATATAATAATGAAATGAAAAGCTATTAAACATTGATAACAACTTGAAATTTGTTGGATTGAGATGATTGTTTTCTCTTCTTCTTCGTCTTCTTCTTGCTTTTCACAGTTGTATCGTGGTCAAGATCAAGAAGGACGAGCGAGACATTAAAATGCACATGTATATACATTCTCACGTTCATTCATTCACATCATCACATGTCTCGCGGCTAAATTGAAAGAGATGGTGGTCACTAAAAAAAGAAGAAGAATTTGTCGTTCTTTCTCTTTGCCGATAGATCATAGTTCGAAATTGATTGTTCATTCGTCTTCCTTCATTCAAATTGCGCGATGTATTGACTATTAAACCACAACCAAACGTTTTTGATTGCATGCTATTTAAAAACATTCTCGAAATTGGTCAATTGCAACAACAAACTTTGACTACTATCCATAACTGTAACAAACAAACAGGTAAATGGGGAAATGAACAATGCTAGAAAGGAAAGAGCTAAGTGTCTTCAAGGAGCTACTTGGCGGATGCTTTGAACTCAACTGATTTGATGCCGACTAGTTTTAATGTGCTTCTTCTTCTTCTTCTTCTTCTTCATCTTTCCTATGCACACTTATTGTTAATCAATTGACCAGCAAATAGATGTTAGCGATGATGATAGCAGCGACGTGCCACTTTTTATCTTCCATATTGCTTGTCAAACATAGGCGCAAATATCTATCAAGTTTAGATAGCGTACGCGTCTGTTCAGGAAACAGGCTATATTTAATGTGTGCTGTGTGTTTTTACAGTAATAATAGACAACCTTACATCATCGTTTATAATATTATGTTTTCTATATTTGATACACGCGTGTACTCAAGCTCACACACACAATCGACGTTATTGTCCGACAGTCAAATCCTTCTCTTTCTCTTCATTTTTTTTCTCGCCCATCTGATGGTAGGTCGAATTACTAGTATTACTAGCATCACTATTGCTCGTACACTTCATCGTTATCGAGCTATGCGTGAATCACGTCAACAAAAGGTAAGCACATGTTTATGTAAGATTACGAGAATAGTTTTGACTTTCAGCTATTTGTTCTTGATGTTGTTATTATTAGCATTATTACTATTCTTATTATTATGCCACGGTGAGTCTCTTGATATAATCATTATCTTTATCTAAGTTATACGCATGTCCTAGAAATAGATAAAGGAAAAGAATAAAAACGAAAAGATGAGTTCTTCTGTTATATAGATGTATATATATATTTATCATCGTTTCTTCCTTTTTTTGCTGTTTATCCATTAATTTGTTAGTGATGATGACAGCATCTATGAGCGTGACTTGAGCTTTTCATAAATCCGGTAAACATTATTTTTTTTCCAGCACACTTAAATACTCTTCATATTCACATACATTCTAGTTTGTTCAGTTTTATCTTTCTTACTAAGAAAAAAAAAGAAATTATCAATGACCCTGACATTTCTACTTTCTTTTCGTCTCTGTTTCTATCTCAAATGATGTTGTAATGTATATAGATATAGACGTAATTTGATTTTCCACTAGAATATCCTTTGAAAAAGAAGAACATGTGGCATTGTATCACATGTTTCTCTGTTGTTTTTTTTCTGATAGATTTAGCACATGGATATGGCAAGCAAGTTTATAAATTATTATTTTAACGTATAATTTTTGCTTTGAATAGTTGCAACGTGCGATAACATCATACATGTGGTGTGGTCGTCTTCCTTTGAAATTGATGGGATACGAAAGATTATAGCGACCAAATTGCGTTATGTGATTTATCGATTTAACTTTTCTCCATTATGCATGCTTGACAGTTTTGTTAGGAAGTATATTCATATATGTATATATCTATATGTATATTTTTAAATATAAATATAAATATACATATATATAAAGAAGAGAGAGGTGTATGGGTAATGCATTTATTGAATTTTTTGTTTTGTTAACGACTGATCCTGTCTGGTAATGTTTGAGTGTGTTTGTGTGTATTTATTTGTCCAGCAATTATCGTCTCCGTTGCACCATTTCAAATGGTAATAATCACAGGCGTGTTCATATAATTGATACGGTGGTCATTGAATGTTAAAGCAAAATATTTTATGTTTGTGCATAAGTGTTGAGCGATAAAGAAGAAAAAAAAAGTGTTCAACCGTAAGCGCCAACAAAACAAAGTGCTTGACATACTCTACTTGTCAATAGTACTGTCGTAGTCTCTCTCTCTCTCTTTTTCTTTTTTTTTTACTGATCCAGTGTCGGACACTCTTTATATGTAGTGTGTTGAACACTTTGCATCGAGTATAAAATAACTCTCAAAGGTCAAACTAATTCGAATAAGATCTTATCGTATTTTCAAGACACTAAAATACAATGTTTTGTAAGTAATTAAAAACATCTTTTTTTACTTATTTTCTATTGTGTGCTTGTTCGCACACTAATACCAATTGTATTCTATCTTTCTTATTCATTCTTTATTTTTACTCTGTAATTATAGTTAAATAGGAACTATACATTCTTTAGTTACTATTGTATCCGTTCACTTTCTTATGTTTCTGTCAAGTTCACCTGTAGAGAACAACCTTGAATAGAAGAGTGAGAGAGAGAGAGAGAGAGAGAGAGAATAAAGACGGAAATAATCTATTGAAATTCGATAATTGCTGCCGCTAGGATGACCGATGGTCAGCTGGAAGGCCTGTTCTTTTCTTTCCGTCAATACTTGATTACTTGTTGTCAAGGGAATTAAGACGTTTTCGCATCACGATCACATCTGCTCATTTAACAAGTAACATAAATTTTGATAAAATCACTCTATTGATGAGACAAACCTTCTTTTATTTCTTTTACACTCGAATAGTGATTGTCCTACAGTTGAATGTATATGAACATAGTAAAACAATTTCGTTGTTCATACGTCTTCATTCGTTGTATTTCTTTTACTATGTATGTATGTACGTATATACATATTAATTTAATCCGTTTCATAGTTATTCAGTGATTGATATATGAATAATTATGTTGCAGATATTTTATTCTTCAAGAAGCAAAACACTAACGAAAATCTGATTTATATGTTTGTCTTGTTCTTTTTTTTTCGTTTCATAGATGAACTTAAGAAGTTCACTGTCGGATATATCGATGTCGTTTAGATTATTTTTCTCGTGATGGTAGTAAATTTTAGTGTTTGATAAGAATAATAAATTTGTTTAAATTCAATATAAGCGAACAAAAAAGAAATTACAATGTTTCTATAGAAATAAACACATGTTAGATTGCATATTATATTAACTGTACATATAGGTATATTGACCTTGCGCTTGTATGTAGTAGCCGATAAGGTATGTGCACATGCATTGAGAAATCTCATCAATAGTACTATTTACTTGTAATTTCACTACTTTTCCCGCTACATTCTATTGTCTGCCATAAAAGGTGTGAATCTCTTTTGCCGCATATGTACAGAATCGATCATCGCTGGCGGCTATATCGTTGACGGATTGACATACTAGACAGTGGCAAGAAAGACTAATCTTCTCCTAATTAATTCTAACGGGTGCTTTTGTTGTAGACAAAAAAAGAGAAACGACCTTGACACGATGATCTTTTATGCACTCTTTTGTAGTCAGTGTATGTTTATGCACTGATTGAAAATGCAAACTCTTTTCCTTTCTTATCCCGTACTAATACATAGTTAAGTTAGTCAGTCAGTCCAATCTTCTTGCTTTATACAATGAGAATAAGTATAGACGAAATATTTGCATTCTGACGAGATGAATATATAAACATCTCATCAATACAAGTTGAGTGTGTACGCCTGACCTTCGTCCATCATCATCATCAACAACATCGTGCTGAATGTGAAAAGAAGAAATAGTTTGTGCTACCCATAGCTGAGAGTGATTTGTATCCACTCTTTTCTTTTGCTTCTTCTTCTTTTTTTTTTCAATTCATTGGTACTCCACATGCAGAACGATGAGAGTGATTATACACGGAAAGAGATGCGTGATGAATACAGTAATTCCGGAATTCACTTATATACACATATACATAGCCTCTCAGTGAATGGCTGACTGACTAATAGATCTATCAGCACACTTTTATTTCTGATTCATTTTCTATTTTTTTTATGCATTGTTCCAGATCACGAATTAGAATGATGACTCTTGACACCATTGATTGAACATATATGCATACAACAAGCGATGGACGATAAAAACCCATCTACGTATCCTGTACTATTGTCGAAATCAAATAGGTATGTAGTTTTTCTTTCTTTCTTTCTCAGTTCAATGCCTTTCTTATGTTAAAACTCATACTGAGAATGT